ATTTGAAGGCCAGGTTTTCCCATCACTCATCATTAGAACCCATTTTACACATGGCTCTCGATTCTGACTTGTACTTGCTCTTATGAAAATGTACCATAGTTCTTAACCGTAGCATTTATTATAATAAGGCTAGCCTATTAATCATTACCAGGCCAATAATGACTTTTTTTATTATTATTAATCTATAGCATTTGTTCTGAAAAACAACAGCTTGCACATTTAGAAACAATAACATGCCACAGTTGTAATACTAATCTAAAGGGAAAAATCTATTCCATAACAGATTCTACAACACGTTAGACAAAATTTACCACAATAAATAAGCCTACAATAAAACGTTATAAATTCTAGTAAAGGTGGTCATGATGAGTAGTTTTAAATGATTTTACTGTATGTTAGTGCTGGTGCAAGATTGTTTTCTCCTCTTTACATCAGTCTTTTTTAGTTTATGTGCCTTTTTCAGAAAATGTTTAGTGGGAGTCATTAAAAAAAAGTAATGTTAAAATAGGGGTCCCCTGGAAAAAAAGCTTGAGAACTACTGTCCTAATGTGCCCTTAAGTCACCATTAAACAGAAGTTGCAACAGTATTTTCTTTCCAATTGTGATGTTTATATGAGTGAAACGGCTCTTAGTTTTGTGCCTCGGGTATTGATTGGATGGTTGTGGTTTGCTATTAGTGGATCTCATGTGACTGATATGTTACTGTCCAGACCTTGTGCCAGTAAACACACCATCAGACAAGAGATTTCACTAAAAATGGTCAACTTTGATTTCTTGGCAAGTAATAAGTACTCCTATTCTGAGTGTACAATGAACTGCACAGGTCTAACGGTTTGCAAACATATAAACGTGATGCATAGAAAAATTCACAGTTTTTCAAATGCATAAATACCTGCAGAAGTGTGACCATCTTTGAACAGACCTGTGAACCATTTCTTTGGCTGTGGAATTTCACACTAGAATTTCTAGCCTGTTAGTGCAAGCTATGTGGTCTGTTATGTTGCATTTCGCTGCAAAATGCATATCTTGCTGGAAAATGCAAATCTCATAGCACCATGTGACAATACAAACACATTCTGTTACACTGGATACTATCGACATAAACTGTGAGAGAAATTGAATACAATTACAGTACTAATCAGATTTAATACCCTATAGATAGATAGAATTGACATGGAGACTAAATACAGATTGAATGATCTTACCGATTGTGCTTTTCTTTTGTAGAATGTTGGCTCAGCATAAGTGATCATTTCTTCACAAGTCTGAACTGTTCAAACAACAATAGATGCAACAGAGGCATTAAACAGTCAATCTTAACTAGATCTGTTTCTTTACAAAATATGTGTCATTATCAAGGCTCAAATGTAAGTATTAATACATATAATTAAAAAATATTTAACTTGGAATTTTTTTAATGGGGGTAATTAATTTTATTATTGAAATCATGTAGGAATGAATTTCTGTGGGTGCACTTGCAGTGTTTTTTAAGGCAGTTTATGTGAGTGAGATGAGTAATGAATGCGGTCTAGAAACACATTATTTCAGTTTATTCCAATAAAAAGGAACTAGTTGGCGTTAACTACAAAATTATTATTCGAGTATAATAATGATGATTTTGGCTATTAATTGATTAAAATATTTAGAGTGCATTTTCTTGTTTAAAAGCTGTAGGTAACACTTGCCTTCTCTGTCAGTTTCTGTAAGTTTCCTGCAGATGCAGCACATCAGGACTGCAGCAACAATCAACAGAGATCCAGCAGCAGAAATCAACACTATGTACAATAAGGGTAGACCCTGATCTGTTTTGGACAAAATGAGCCATTAGTGCAACTGAATCTATCAGTCTGATATCCAACAAACACTATCAAACATCAGCACAATAACTTATTAGATCAACTCAGTTAATCAACATTAATATCAACACCAACATACCTGAATGTATCTGACAGAGTTGACTGATGTCCAGATGTTGAGTCTGGTTGCTGATGAGATTGTTGAGCACACAGCTGTATGTGTTTTTATCCTGATATTCCACCTCCAGAGGTAGAGAGAGACTGATGCTGAGATCAGACACACTGATGCTGGACAATAAACTGTTTCCTTTGTACCAGGAGAGAGTCACATGACCCACATTCACCACTGAACACACCAATGAACAATTCTGCTGTGATGATGATGATGATGATGATGA